GCATCTCTCATTTAGGCTCTTACAGGGATATTCAGCCAGAATGTGTTTTTTGGTGTTTTTTTCCCCAAGGAGAGGGCAGTGGGTGCTCATCAGAGCGGGGCTGGGAGTGGCCCCTGGGCCAAGGGGGAACAGAGGGGGCTTCTGTCTGGGCATGGTGCTACCTCTCAAGGTTCAGGCATCTGGAGCATCCCGGTGTCCGGAGCATCCCGGCGCCCTCAGCGCTGCTTCCTCCAGCAGCACCCGGGAGTCCTGGGGCTGATTGGGCTGGGCTGGGGGCTGGGGGCTGTGGCCTCACCCCACCGTGTCCCTGGCACTGCGGGGACAGCTCCTGAGCGTGGGGAAAGCGTGGTTTCCCAATCCTCCTCCTCCCTGCAACCCTCCTCCTGCTGCTGCTGCTGGTCCTCTCCCCATCCTCCCTCTGCCCCCGGCTTTGCTCTTTCTCAGGAGTGCCTGGGAGAAGAGAAACCCGGCTGTAAATTACCCGGGAGGATTTTTCAGTCTGAGATGTGCACTCCCCCCTTTCTCTCCCCCTCGCAGCGCTGTTATTTCATCTCGGCTGCCAAACTGCCGGGAATTAATCCCGGCCGGCGCTGACAGCGTTTACATCCCGCGCCGCTCAGATAAACCAGATCAGCCGTGGCAGCTGAAGAGGAGCCGGCCGCGGAAGGAAGGGCTGGCTCCTGCTCAGTGTCAGCCTCTCTGGCCTGCCAGGGTGTTTTCCTGCCTTTTTTTCTTCTCTCCGAGGGCTTTGCTCAGAGCAAGGAGCCACCAAAACGCCCCCGCTGGTGAGGGTGGCCGTGGAGGGGTTCAAACAGGGAAACCTGGAGCTCCTGGCTCTTGTCCTGGTGCAGATAACACAGAGGAAGAAGGGACATGTCCTTCAGGCTGGTGGGAATCTGCAAGCTCTGTCTCATCCTTCACCCTGTGCCACCCCCACAGCCACTTCTCCTTACTGCCAGCTTCCATGGGACGGGGTTTCATAGGAATTTCAATTAATTTGAAAGGAAATTCCTTAATAAAGGAATTTCAACAGTGCAGTTATTGCATGTTCTCTTTCCCTATCTCCCCTCTGCAGCTGCGTTCCTGCCTGTCCCTCACAGTGACCCTCTGGCCCTGCCCTCAGCTGTCACCAGGAGTATCCAGCAGGACACAGACACACGGTGCAGAGGTGTCACCTCTGATCCCAGAACGCCTGTCTGATCCCAGCCTGTCACCTCTGATCCACCAGCATGGTGGGGCCACCATTGCCCAGCTTGTGACAGGCCTTGGGCAGGAGCACTGGGCCCTGTGGCCCCTGGTGTGGATGGAGAGGTTTTCCTGGAGCTGGAGCAGGACAAAGGGTCCAGGAACACACCCTGGGCTGTGCCTTAGCTGTTGATTCATCTTTCGCTCCATCTCCCAGCCCACAAAACACCACTGGGGCCACCAAGGTGCTTTCTCAGAGCTGAATCTCCACCAGCTCCCTTGCACAAAGGGTGGTTCCTGGACAGCAGCATCCCCAGGCAGGCACACTTGGGAACAAGGTGAGTTTGGCACTCCACGAGCACAGGGCAGTGAGGGTGTGAGCCCATTGTCCCCTGGGCTGATTTTGTGGTGTGGTGTGAGCCTCAGGCTCCTTTTCCAGCAGCACTCGCAGATCTCTGGTGAGGCCACGGGCTCTGGGTCAGGGTGTGATCGTCACAGGCACCCTGACGTGACAGGATCTGGGGGTAAATATTAGTATGAAGTGAAGGGCTGTGTACATATTTTCTCCCTGCAAGGTAATGCTGAAATTCCCTGCTCCTTTTCAACAAGCTGTTAGAAAAAACAGCCCCATTTTAGCACCCTCTGGCCACTGCTGGGCCTGGCCACTCTCAGCTCAGCGTGCAAAGGTCTGGGGGCTCTGGGTGCCCACTGCAGCCTCCCCACTGCAGAGCTGAGTCCTTCTGCTCGTGCTTTCCCAGCCGATGGCTCCCATCTGGAGCAGGGCAGTGTGCAGGCTTTGCTGACTGCTCACTTCTGCCTGGAAGCGTGTACAGGATGTGGCAGAGATTCCAAGGATGGCTTATTAATCACATTAACAGCACCAAGTGGTTTTTTGCCCCACAAGAAAAGACACAGCAGGAGAAGACAGATTGAACCAGACACTTATTCCCCTCCCCACATTCTCTGTGGCTACTGCTGGGCTCAGTTTTGTGGAGCTGTGGGGAAAGAAAAAGGTTCCTCTTGCAAGGCCACACTTCTAATTGTGGCTTGGGTACTCCAGAGTAGCTCAAGTGCCTGCCCATGCAAAACTGCACCACTCAACTGCTGTTATTTTCAGCATGTGGGGCTGGAGAGCAGCATTGTTGCCCCCAGCCCAACTGGAGAAGTTGGCACCAGGCTCCCCAAGACCCTGAGCAGCATCCAAGGCACCAATCTTTGCCCTCCTCCCTCTCAGAACAGTGTCCCCCCAGCCTCAGTCCAAAACCGGGATTGCTCCCCTTGAAATTGTTTGTGGCAAGGTGCTGCTGTTTTCTACCACCCTGGTGGGATGGGTTTTCCCACCCCTGGAAGACTGTTCTGGATTCAGGGTAAAGAGGAGCACAATAAACAGGATTGCTGGAATTTGTTTTCCAAGCCTTGGATCCCACGGCAACAGAGCTTATGGGACCATAGCACGAGTCTGTCTGTCTGTCTGTCTGTCCATCCTCTGCCAACAACTTTGGGAAGGCTGGCCAGTGTCAGCTGAACTTGAGAGGGGCTGTTTTGCAAACGAGGGAGCTGGAGAGACCCACGGGGGCAAACCACAAAGTGACCCAACCCCTCTGGGACCCATCCCCTGCAACGTGACCCAGCCTCAGAGAGGGGTAGGGGGAGCCACCAGGGGCTGGGACGTGGAAAACTGAGCTTCTGCTGCTGCTCAGGGAGCTGTTTGTTATTTTTACAGGCTGGGAACAGGCTCACAACCCTTGGTGGTCGTGGCTGCTGCACGTTGTGGCCGTCAGTGAGCACTTTGGACTGGCTGGGCTGCCAGAGGCACAGGAATAGCTCCTGATCCAGGAGAGACCCTGCTGGTTTGTACCTGGAAGCCAAGTGAAGAGCCCGGAGGGGGGCAAACCCTTCCCTCCCTGTTGGGGAAGATGAAACAGGAAAGCCTTATAAATATGATTGCCTGGCAAAAGACTTTGAGAATATGGAAACTATAAGGGAGATTGAAATGAAAGCAAGCTTTGAGATACCTCAGTTATTGAAAAACTGGAAAACAATGGCGTGGCCAGCTGAAGGTAATCCCCTTTTGATGGGGGGGGATACAATACCCTCTCTTGCAGACAGGCCCAAGGGTCAGAGCAGACCCTACAGCTTGGCAGAAGGGGCCCAAAGAGGAGTTTTTAGAGTTTAAAATGTAACACAGTATGGTAATGTAATGATTCTTATAGGCTGTATGTAAATGCTGTAGGATTTGTATCTTGTACTAGACTGGTTAGTGAGAATCAAAATAATTAACACAGAAGAAGATTTATTGTATTGTAAGAGGAACTTTGCTCTCTTACCCCGATTACTCTCTTACCCCTTTTACTCTCTCACTCTCTCATTCTCTCTCCCCCTCTCTTCTCTCAGCCTGCTCTGAGCTGTGGCTGGCAGCTCCCAGCAGGGCCCTGCACCCAGGCCCTTTGCAATGAACCCCAATTCCAGCCCTGGCTGCAGAGATCTCTCATCTCCATCCATCTCCACCATCCTACCCTCGATGCTCCTACACCTCCCCACAGGAGTGCACTGCTGAGATGCCTCCAGCCACCTCTACCACCCTTGCTGGGCACATCCACTCCGTTTTCTGCTGCTTTCCTGCCCAAAAACTCCCTCAGAGTGAGCAGGAACCCTCACAACCACGGGGCAGCCCTCAACACACTTCATCTTCCCATCAGAAGAAACCAAGCAGAGCTCAAGAGGGGTTTGATTGATTTATCCACTGAAGATACAAGTTTCAGTTTAATAACACCATTTTGTCCGGTTACAAACATACTAAAAACCTACAAAAAGAAAAAAACCAAAGTTACACCCATAAACACAGAAGGCAGGTATAAAACCAGCACGGAAGCGCCGAGGAACACGAACATGAACAGGATCTGCAGCAGGAACAGGAGAGACACAGGGTTACATCAGACCACACTCATGGCTGTGGGGCACGCTGGGGCTGGGGCAGACACACCAACACTGAGAGACAACTTCAGCTATGGAAAATAACTGGCAACCTGGCACAGAGGTCAGGCTAGGCGGGTGGATTTGGCCCTCCCTTTCCCTCAGCTGGTCCAAGGTCAGCGTGTGGGTTTCCCTTTGATCCCTGTGCCTGGCATTGGTGGTGCTGGCCCCAGATCCCCACAGCAGGGCAGCTTCCCCATGGCCAGGGGCAGGCTGAGTTCTGGCACCAGAGTCCAGCCAGGTGGAATCTGGTCCCCATTGAAGTGTCTGAGCATCCCCTCACACCCTGGGGGGACACTGTGACCTCTCTCCTGGGACAAAGGGGCAGAGATGTGAGAGGATCCCCTGGGAGAGCTCAGGCTGCCCTGGGGATTTGTCACCCCCAAGAGAAGATGAGGGTGGTAGCACATAAGGGTTCTGGTGATATTGGGGGGTGTCTGCAGAGCTAAACCTGCCATGAATGTTGGCCATGGAGGGGGGACAGGGTGGGTGGGTCTGTGCCCCATCCCAGCCCAGTGCCCCCATTCCCCAGGGCTCAGCTCCCTCTGAGCAAACACTGAGCTGCAGCGAGGGGACAGGAGCTGGCTGATGGGAGCAGTGCTGCCAAAGAGAGCCAGGACAAAGGGCTCAAGGGGGACACCAAATCCCCCCTCACTCAGCATTTCCCCACCTCTGGCAGGGGGCACAGAGGCTTTCCCACCTGGATCACAGCTCCAGGCCCAGCCCTGATGATAATGCCAAGGCGCTGGCAGAGCCAGGGGCTGGCTGGGTCTGGGGGTGCAAGGCAGAGACCAGCTGGGCCCAGCATGTGCTGGCAGTGATGCCCTGAGCCTCAGCTTCTCACTTGTGAGCTCTGGGGAAAGGAGTTTGAGAGCTAGTCACCACCAAGGAGAGCAAAGCTCGGCCTAAGTGTGCCCTTAGCTCGGCCTAAGTGTGCCAGGAGTGAAAGGCCAAGCCCCAGAGAGCAAGACCTGAACAAAAGGGGACAAGGGGCCCCCAATCAGCAGTGGTGGGACTGGGGGAGCAGTGGGTGGCAGTGACAGGGAATGGCTGTGCATGGGTGTGTGTGTGTGTGTGTGCCAGAGAGCCATGCACAGAGCCATGCTCCCCCTTTCTGCTCTTCCACACAGCATTTATCAGCCCTGTCACTCTGGAATGGCGCTTTTCCCTCACTCTGTTGATCTTTGTCTCTCCCCAGATGAGGACAGGGCTGGGTTTCAGCAGAGCAGAGAGGGGGCGTTTGTTTCATCTCCATCTCCTCCTCCCCTCCCGAGCCCTGCCCTGCCGCCCTCCTGCTCCGTGTCACTTCCCAGCAAGCTGATAAAAATAAAAATAAACGTGGTTTTGTTTGCCTCTACTGGAGTGGGCTGCAATTTGGCTGATCGGGGGTGCTCCTCGAGGGACAGCAGCTGCACACATCTGGATCTGCTTTAGGAAAAAGTGCCTGGAAAAAGCCCCAAGCCCAGCACACGCACACATGGTGCAGGAGGCCGTGGGTCAGCTTTTCTGGGGATGTAACAAAAGAAAGGAGAAACCAAAGCACTGTTTAATGGGGAGGTGAGGGGACCTTCCTGCTGCTGCCCCCCAAAAGCCAAGGCACAAGGGTAGGTTGGGTATGAACATGGAGAATTTCCAGACGCTCCAAAGTGGCTTCTCTGCAGACTGGGAGCCCAGTTTTGGCTGTGGGAAGGGAGGGGAAGGGTTTGCGCTGCAAAAATAAAATTCCCACCTGGAGATTATTAACCTCAAAGGTCAATGTGCAAAATTTTGTCTAAAGATGAAACATCCCTGTACAGAAACACCCCTGGCCCAGCATGTGCAGAGCACAGGGAGTGCATGAACTGCTCAGAAATGTGTGCTGCTGGCCCCCAGGCCTTGGCAGGAGCCAGCAGAGCTCGTGAGTGCCGTGGTGTGCACACACACAGACATCACCTAACAGTCTTGATCCAAGGGATTCCTCACCAGCCCTGCACTGGAGGGGAGTCAATGGCTGAGCAGGCTTCTCCCATCCATCCCCACCCCAGGCAGCAGCAGCTGTTTGAGGGCTGAGCAGCCTCTGTGACAGCCCAGAGGGAGCTGGAGCTGCAGCCACGGGCACCTCCACCAGGGCAGGCTGTGGGCTGGATTCTGGGCATGCTGGCTCTGACAGCCCCATGAGCAGGGCAGCATCACTTGTCACCCTGTGCCTGTCCCTTCCTTTCACAACCCCCTGGACCCTGCCATGCCCAGGACAGCTGTGCCCAGCTGTTGGTGCCACCCAGGAGGTGCCATTGTCCCAGGCCCCATTGCTCCTCTCCATCAGTGGCACTGTGGGATGCAGGAAGGAAAGGACTGCAAGGCCAGAGTGGCTGCAGTGACATTATTGGAGTTGTGGGGCTGTTTTGAGACACAACAAACCTGTTCTGTTCCTCGGGATGGTGGAAAGCACAGGTGAGCCAAGCAGGAGGTTCTGTCTGTCTGTCTGCTCTGGAGGAGGGAGGTCAGCCTGGGGCAGTGACCCACGGTTAGGGATGGCCCCAGGGTGGCTGTGGGGATGCCAGGTGGAGCTCTGGGCTGGCTGCCTGTCCAGCTGGCACCAGCAGAGGAGCTGGGCTCTCTCAGGAGCTGCCAGCTCTCCAGGACAGCGGTGGAGCCAGGCCAGAGGGAATCTCAAAGGGAACCCTCCTCCCACTGCCACAGATAACACTGCCCTTAATGCCTGAGCTCTAAAAATAGCACAGGCCTTCAGGGAAATATTGGGTGCCAAGGATTCCAAAGCTTCCCAGCACATCTGGCATTTCATCCTCAATCCTTTGCCATTCAGTTCCCAGAAATGTTCCGAATCCAACCACATGTGGGCAGGAGGATGCGGGGCTGCTCCTCCTCCTCCCTTTTTCATATCTGCAGGGGAAACTGAGGCACAACCCAGGCAGACTGACCCAGAGGCTCAGGAGGAGTTGGTGCTGGAGGAGGGATGAGTGCTCCAAGCCCTGCAGCCACGTCTGGGGGTGTGGGAGAAGCCTCTGTCAGGCACAGGCAGGAGCACTGCTGTCCTCAGGAGGGACTCAGCTCCTGCATGGGCTGATTTCTACCAGGCACTTTGTTTGGAGGAGCCCAGTCTCACCACGAGGGCAGGAATATGTACAAGGTATTTATGGATGTTAACAGAGAAGGGACCTTTCCTCACAACCAGAATCCCTCCTGATGTGTCTGTGCCATCTTTCCTCCTCCTAATCACAGCCTGACCCCCGTTCTCACTGTGAGGACAGACAGACTGACACACAGCAGCTCCCAGGGCACACCATGCTCCATCCAAACCCCTCCTCAGGGAGCTGTGGGGGCACTCACCAGCTCCCCACCTGTGGCACAGGGATCCCGCCCACACACCATGCTCTGAGCCATGAGGGATTCCCAAAGGGCATCCCCCTCCTTCCCCTCTCTGGGGCTGTGGGGCAGCTTCTCTCCCAGCCCAGAGGGGCTGCAGCAGCCAGCCCAGGACAGGGACTGTGGGTGGCTGCACAGGTGAGCTCTGCTGCCCACCTGGAGCATCCAGAGAGGCTCTGGCTGTCAGCCCTGCCAGGTGACACACAAAGTGCAAAGCAAAGCAAAGTTCTCGGTGCAGTCAGGGGCTCCAGCTTTAGCCAGGGGCCTCACGTGGAAAATGAGGGTTGTGTTGTTCATCAGTGAACAGGGCAGCAGCACTTGTGCAAGGGGCTTTGAGATGGTGCAAGTGAGGTGCAGGATTTGGGAGGTGGTGATGGACAGGCCAGGACAGGAAGATGGAGCCAACAACCAAAGCTCTCCCCTCACCCTCTGCATCCCCTTCCAGCGTCCCCTGCAACTGCTTCACCCCGACCCACCCACACCCTTCATGGTTCTGTGGCTTTTTTTGGCTTGTTTAGTTTGTTTTTAAACCCCATGGAGATCAAATTGTGACTTGGCAGCTGACAGAACTGGCCCTGCCAGGCTCCCCAAACCGAGCAAAGATCTTGAGAGGAGACCAGAGCGAAGTCCTGGGGTGAGCAAAGCCCTCCCTGCCCCTCTGGTGGCCCCCTGGGCGCTCACAGGGTGGCAGTGGGGTACTGAGCCCAGCCCGCCTCCTTGTAGGCTGCTGTCACATGGGTGCAGATGAGGGTCTTCATCTTGGTCCAGGCTCCGTGTGCCTCAGGGGTGAAGTCGTTGGGGTATTCCTCAGCAATCACCTCCAGCATCACACCAGTGAGTTTCTAAGGGGAGGCAGACAGCAAGGAAGGGGTTAATAACTCACCAGGGAGCTGCTCACAGCAAGTTTGGCTTTTTCCTACAGAAACAGTTGAATCCTGCTGCTGTCTGTAGGACACAGATGTGCTGGAGGTCTGTGACAGCCCTGGGAGCAGCCAGGACAGGCAGCAGAGCAGGGAGCTGCTGGCGGGCTGAGGCATCTCCCCCAGTCTGGGAACCCCAAATGATTCACAGAATCACAGAATATTCCAGGCTGGAAGGGACCCATGAGCATCATCAAGCCCAACTCTTGAGTGCAATGGGGATCAAACCTGTGATCTAGGGGTTATTATTTCCCTCAGAAAGAAACCAAGCAGAGCTGGAGGGGGGCTAATTAGCCAACTAATTGAGTCCCTGCTATTGTGCCCAATTTCTAGAAGGGGGACACAGCCACAAACATGGGCACAGCCAGGTGGGCAGGGGCAGGCACTGGGTGCTCTGGCACTGGCTGTGTGTGGGCAGGGTGGTCTCCACAGCCTTCCTGAGGCTCTCCCTCACACCCAGCCAAGGCCCAGCAGCACCAGCTCACACAGCTCCTGCTCCCCTGCCCTGTTCCTGCAGCAGCCCCAAGGTTATTTTGCTCCTATCTGTCGCAGACATCTTTTATGAAAAATCCTTTCCTTAGGATTTTTCCTCCTGAGAAGCTGGGAGGCCTCAGGAACAAAATGTAAACATTGATTATCTGCTGCTGTGGAATGCAACAGGTGCATCTGGGATTGGTCTCATGTGGTTGTTTCTAATTAATGGCCAGTCACAGTCAGCTGGCTCAGAGAGAGAGTCCAAGCCACAAACCTTTGTTCTCATTCCTTCTTATTCTATTCTTAGCTGTTTCAGATTGCAAGGCAAGATGTTTTCCATTACCATCTGTAGGGCAGATTACCTTTGTCAAGTGGGCAGTTTGCTTTATCTCTCTCTCTGAGTGACCACAATCACTCCTCCCTCGAGAGGGACATCAGCTGATAACAGCTATTGAATGTCCCTGCATGGCTGATAAGAACTACAGCATCCCATTGGGAGATGGGAGCCCAGAGGGAGGAGCCAAGCATTCCTGCTTGGATATAATCTGGAGATTTCAAACATTCATAATCTGGAGATTCTGGAACACCAGCACAGTTTCTCCACTGGATTCCCCAGAGGAGCAGCAGCTGCTTCTTCCCCTGGATCTTCAGAGGAAGAACACATCCTTCTCTCCAGGATCCCTGCTCCAGCAGAACCAGCCCTGACACTGCAGGAGGGCTGAGCCACAATTCCAATGGGACTGCTGCCAACACCCTGACCCACAGGGTGTCAGGTTGGGTTCTGACTCTGTCAGTGTTGTTCCAGTGTACTGCATTGTTTATTTTATCCTTTTATTTTTTTCCTTTCCCTATTAAAGAACTGTTATTTCCTGCTCCCATAATTTTTGCCTGAGAGCCCCTTAATTTAAAATTTATAGCAATTCAGAGGGGTGGGGAGGGTTTATATTCTCCATTTCTGGGGAGGCTCCTGCCTTCCTTAGCAGACACCTGTCTTTCCAACCAAGACAGAAGGCCTTCTGATGAAATCCTTTCTTCTATTCTATTAGTATAGTTTTAATATAATATATATAATAAAATAATAAATCAAGCCTTCTCAAACACGGAGCCAGATCCTCATCTCTTCCCTCATCCTCAGCCCCCTATGAACATGGTCACACCTATCCTTTACCTTAAAGTAGATGGGCTCCACTTTGTGCTTGAGGGCATGGGCCTTGCCCACCAGGGCCAGCACAGAGGAGACCTTTTCAGCATCATTGAGGTTCTCCACCACGGTGTTGATGGCCCCCATGACCCTCCGGGCGTGCTTGCGCAGCTGCAGGCTCCTCTCCATCTCCAGAGGGTCCTCCATGTGCTTGAACTGGCTGAAGTACTGCTTGGCCGAGGGGAAGTTCACGAAAAACCTTCCAGAAAGAGCAGACATGAAATGCCATCAGCAGGGGGAGAGCAGGCTGAGGGGTTAAAGCAAAGCACGGGGGGGTGGAGGTGGTGGAATCCATCCCCTGTGTCTCACACAGCCAGGGCTGATTTTGCTATCAAATTCCCCAGGAGCTGCAGCATTCAGCTGTCTGAAAACAAGAAGGTTGATGCCTTTTCCCCAAACCCCATCTGCTACAAGGTCATCACAGCTGGATATTCATCCTCAAAGCAGAAGCAAGACTGAGTTCTTGAGGCCCAGAGATGCCACCCAGGTGTGCCAGATGCTGGATATGTGCCCACATATATCAGAACAGCACATCCTGCCTCAGAGAGCTGGAGATGAGCATGAAAACCTCTCTTTGTCCCATCCAGCCTCTCCTTGCCCCTCTTCCTTGCCTCCATGGGCTTTATTTCTGCATTGCCACCCAGAACAGTCTCCCCTTGTCCACCTTCCGTGGATCAGCCCCACCAGAGTGTCCAGCAGGACCTAAGGCCTGAGCTGATGTCACTGCTCATTTGGGACATTTTTCCCAGCACAAGGATACCCCAAAAAGTCATCAGCCCCTGTGTGGGGTGGCCTGGGGACCCTCTTTTCTGCAGGACTAAATCAACCCCAATGAAATGCAGCTGAAAGAAATGAAGTTGTGGTCACAGTTGATGTGCTGAGCTCCCCAGGGAGGCAGAGGGCTGGAGGGGACAGGGAATTGAAGGGCACAAGGTGACAGGGACCAGGGCTGGAGCCACCAATGCCAACAGCACCCATGCCAGGATTGCAGCTGGGGCTGACACCTGACTCATATAATCCATCCCTTCCACTGATTTTCTGCAGGAGAGAGCCACATCAGTGCTGGTTCCCCCCTGTCACCCAGCTCCCTCCCTCCTACAGGGCTCTCCCTGGCTCCTGGGCTGCTGGAGGATGCTCAGGAGGCAGCACAGTGCTCCCAGGCTGTCCCCATCATCCCTGGCTCCAGGCAGACTCCCTGCTCCCCTCCCCAAACCCCTTCCCAAGCACCATCCCAAACTACAGGAGCCTGAACCCATCCCGCCTCTCTCTCCAACCATCACTCCTTCTCTCCAGAACCAGGTGGGATCCTCTTCCCCACTCACCACTCAGTGAATAATCACAATATTGAGTACCAGGCTCCTTTACCAGTTTGTTATCCTCCTTTTCCCCCTCCCTCCCTTCCTTCCCCCGCTCCCTTGGCTTGTGAAAGCTTGGGGGCATTGCCAAGGAAGCGGCTGAAGCTGTGCCTGGAGTGCACCACGGCTCCTGCTGCTTCCCCAGGCAGCTGGGATTCATCAGATGGCCCAAAATAGGTTTTGGAGGTGTGAGGAATGTGTGGCAGAAAGGGTGGGGGAGGAAGGAAGGTGGAAGGGGGAGATGAGGTGTTGCTTTTGAAACCCAGAGGGGACCCATGACAAAACTCCTCTTGTTGTCGTGCAGCCTCCTCCCCGCAGCACAGCTCCTCCTGACACATCTGGTCCCTGTCGGCAGAAATCACTCCCAGGCCTGGCTGTCTCCAGCTCCTGCTGCCACAGAGATGCTCAGTCCTTGAGCCCAGAGCTGTCAGAGAGGTGCTGGGGGATGGAGCTGGCCAGGCCTTCACAGATAACACCATCCCAGCATCTCAGACTTCTGCTGCCCTGCGCATTTCCCCACAGAAGGGCAAATGTTCCTCTCTGGTTCAATGGAACCATTTTTTCCAGCTGGACTCAGCATCCTTCAGTCCCCATCTCATCCCTCCCCACCTCTATTCAAGGTGTTGCAGCTACAGTCACCCAGCAAAGCCCTCCAGCTCCAGCAGCACTCATCCTGTGGGTTTGACCATCCCTTAGTGGATCTTCCCCTTTCACAGGCTCCCCCTTGGAGCCAGGGATGGCCCTGGGAGCCAGGGATGGCCCTGGGAGCAGGACCTGCTGCCCCAGGCAGGGAATGGAGGCTCCAGCTGCTCCCTGCATGCCTCAGCCTCTGCACCCCAAACCATGGGAAGCTCCCTAAAAAGCTGTGTTTGACCTCAGCCGAAGGGCAGCATCTTCTCAAGGCATGGGAAAGGAGTTGAGAAAAATTCCTGGTCTGAACCATGAAGGGAATAGCAAGGGGGGACAGAGCTCTGCACCATGAGGATTCACAGTTTGTCCCCAACAAGAGAAGGGCCAAAAAGAAACCCTGGGACCATCACCTCCACCTCTCCCCATTTTGGCCAGCTATGCCAGGAGCAAAGCCTGGTTCAACCATCAAAATACCCCAACCTGTATGAAACCAGACCAATGAAAGATCCAAATACTTGGTTTCCAACCTGTCCCTGCTTTGCAGACCCTCAGGGTGATGCCCCTGTGGGAGCTGAGCCCAGCAGCTTTCCCAGGGGATGTAAAAACAGCAAACCCTCAGCTCATGTGTCCAGTCCTGTCTCTGCTGGATTTCTTTGGTGGAGAACTGAAACAGAGGAGCCCAAAACATCTTCAGGAGCAAACCTATGGATGGCCAGAGACCTGCAGCCACCTCTCCTTGGAGAGCAGCAGGCGCCTGCAGCAAGAACTTCAGCCTGGAGCAAATATTTGAGCTGTCAAAGCACAGAGAAGAGGGAAGGAGGCTCACTCAGTGGTAGTTGTTAATAAACAGAGAAGATTAATTTAACACAAAGGTTAAATATAACCAGAGGAAAGGAGGGGGAAAAAAAGAAATAAAATACTCCAACAATAGTGAGTTAGAAGAGGTGTCTGTTGGGGTTTTTCCATCTGCAGAAAATTTGGAGAGTTCAAACCTCACGGGCTCTGGAAGGGTTTTGGATCATTATGTGTGCGTGTGTGTGGTTTGGGCTTTTTTTCCTCCATCAGAGTCATTAAAAGATGATATTTACCATTGCATATCACACAAAATGATGATTGATAGGAACCAGATGCCTGCATACCGATCTCATTAAATTTCTTTTTAAGCGATTCCATTCTCCACCCGCTAATTTGTACTCTGCCAGCTACATCTGGACCCAGAGGACAGGATGTCAGGATTGCTTTTCCTCTCTCTTTTGCCCTTGTAACAACTTTAAGGACACAACCATTCCCAGTAGCAGAGCCAAAGGAAATAATTAAGGTGCAAACCCACTGCAGTTACTGGAAACCTGTTTTCTGTTAGGGAGGAGAGGCATCTCCTCCATCTCCCCCAGCTTCCTCCCTCTCCCCAGAGCATACAGAGCAAATCCTGCATGGAGGAAACCTCCAAGCCCAGCTGGAAAGAGGACACCTGGGTGCTGCCTGGTCCCCCCAAGCACCTGAACCCTTGCTGCTTCACTTCCCCTGTTTGCAAACTGTGGGGTGAAGATGCTCATGAGCCCTCAGATCTGCTGGGAGGCTTCAGCAGAATCATTCAGGTTGGAAGAGGCCTTCAGGATCACCAAGTCCAGCTTTTAACCCAGCCCTGCCACGCTCACCACTAAAGCACATCCCCAAGTGCCACATCTCCACACCTCCTGAATCCCTCCAGGGTTGGTGACTCAACCTACCAATGCTTTCATGTTTTCTCTCGCCTCGTCCCTCTACGTGGGAGAGACTCTAAGGCAGCCTGGAGCCTCTGTGTCCCTTTCAAACCTCTCCTTCCTGCTCCTCTCTGGGGTGCCCACAAAGCAGCTGATAATGGGTAGGCAGGTGCTGTGTGCTGCTGCTATTTATTATTATGCTGAGGGCTGGCTCACAGCTTTGCCTGCATGTTCCCCCTGCTCCTCCCAGCCACCTGTAGCCCATCATCCCCTTTTCAGGCTGCTGGGTTTACACAGCCCAGGGTGAGGAAGGTCTCAGCCATGTCGATGCTACAGCTCAGCGAGGCAGAAAAAGGCAAATCCAGTGAGTAGGAAGGGGATGGTGCCTGCCTGCTCCTCTGTCCTCTCTCTGAAAACTCCTGGACAGGTGGGGATGGTGGTGGGAAACATCTCCAGCTCTGCCAGGGGAGGGCTGAGGGAAAAGGGCCAAGTCCCCATCCACACACTAATGCTAAATTCAACTACTTCTGCAGCTGAGAGAAAGGTGTAGCTGGCCTTGCTCCAGATGATGCCCACACCCCACTGCAGAGCCTTGGGAGCAGAATCCAGCACAGCACGGAACCCTGCCCAGAGGCTGTGATGCCCCAGTGCCCAAGGCACAGGGACCAGGACACCCCCGGGAGGCTGGGAGCAGATTCCTCAGCAAAGATTCCACCAAATACACTTGGACATGAGCTAGAAACCCCCAGGGGCAGGTCCTGCTCACTTCTGTGTGCACAGCTCACACCTCCAAGTCCTCATTGCTGTTGTTTTTCCCTACCCCACATGACGATTCAGCCCAAGCACAGATGAACCTTTAGGGCAGGGATCTTTCACAAGAGAAGTGAATTAACAGCACCAAAGTGGCTTCCCCACTGGTCTCTGGAGACCTGCCTCCCTTGGAGCTGGAAGAACACCCCTGGCTGGCTACAGAGGGGGGTAGGACCCATCCACAAGGACGTGGTCCATGTTCCACTCCCACTGTGAGCCTGTGTGTGGCTTTGCCCATCACCACCTCTCCCCTCCAACGCTCCCTTGGTGGTTTCCAGCAGGTCCAGCTCGGGCAGGATGGGCAGCCAGCGGCACTCAGCGTTCCCCAGGCACC